TGTTCCCGACTTCAGTCAAATTAGTTCCACTTCAATCCTTACAGCTACAATTTGAGAGGGTTATGTTGGTACTTCTACGTTGGTAGGGCCACCAATGTTCTCTTTTATAACAGGCAAGTCAACATCTATTATGGTGTTTAGTCCTCTTGCGCTGACTCTTGGAACCAAGCCTGTATAGGAAATAAAGTGTACTGGTCTCTCTTCCATCTCTCACGTCTGTGTAGACACATATTACCAGCACTGTTGGTATTGCCGGTTCCTACATGGCATCAGCAATTTTCGTAGATCACTACCACATATGCACCGTTGGGGAGGTTCTTTCCTCCAGGATGCAACCCTTCTAGACTGAAGTGGGTCATTAAAACTGTGCATTTGCAACTCGAAGGGGTCAACCAGGGTATCTTATATGTGGATCACACAGCCATCTGATGTTTTTTTTCCTCCAATTGTTTGGTCAGCCAGCATCAATTGATACTGCCATTTTCAGCAAGGCCAGAGTGGAGTGAAGACTAGCAACATGGTAGGCAAAAATGTGTAAAAACTACCAGAGATAACCAGCCCATAGGAGACCTGTCCACAAGAGTCAATAGTTCTCCCACTGATAGGTATAAATTCCATGTCTCTCTGACCAGTGTTTCCCAGGGTCCTGTTGCTCATCATGTACTAGTTTGCCTTGTTTGTCCCTGCCCAAGCCTCACACTTAACACAACTGAATCCCAATTGCCACTGATCAGCCCATTTATACCTTCCTGTTGTCCAAGGCTATCCTCCTCACTACTTGCCCATTGCACCAATTTTCATACCATCCACAAACATACTGATCATCCCTCCTATATTCAAGTCTAAATCATTTATACGTATGTATATATCACAAACAGCAAGAGCCCCAACAGTGATCTCTGCAGAACCCCACTGGACACAGGATTCCAGTCACAAAAATGTCTCTTGACCATCGCCCTCTACTTCCTGCCTCAGCCAATTCTGGACCCAATTGCACAAATTTCCTTGGATCCCATTTTGCAGTCTCCCATGGGCTTTTATCAAAAGGCTTGCTGACCTCCAAGTAGGCTACATCAATACATTCCCCTTGCCTACACATCTGGTTCCCAGAGAATTCAACTGAGTTTGTCAGTCGTGATCTCTGCTTAACAAAACCATGCTGACTATTCTTGATTAATCCCTGTCTTGCCAACTGCAGATTAATTCTGTCTCCCATAATTGCTTCCAGTACTTTCCCAGAGGTTAAACTGACTGGCCTGTAATTTTCTGGTTATTCCCTTGCTTGCTTCTTGAATAATAGTACCACATTCGCTGTCCTCCAGTCCACCTCTTCTGTGGTCACAGAGGAGTTGAAAATTGTCAGCATCTGTGCTATTTCTTCCCTTGCTTCATTAACAAGTGGACACATTTCACCTGGAGATTTATCTATTTTTAAACCTACCATACCACTCAGAACCTCTATCTGTACTAATTTAAATGTTGGTATGACTGTGAGAAACTTAAACATTGCCAATGAACTATTAAGCCAAGGCAAAAGTACTGACCTTCTATCTGATGCTCTTTATTGCATAGAATTGGATTAGGAGCAAACATCCACAAGCAGGAAGCCATCTTCCTTGCCATAGGTGCTATGAATTGTTAGCTTTTTCAAATTTGCATATTTTTGAATTTTAATGTTGCAGCTTCCTAGAGACCTTAACGTATCAAAACAAAAACAAATCAGTTGGTCTGCCTTTAAAGCTGCTATTGTTCCAGAATACACAGATTTTGTGAAAAGTGCCAGATTTCTAATACTTTGCGTGTGTTGGGAAGGGGCAGGGGAAGAGTCCATCTTCACTTCCCTTCAGAATGGCCCAGAATACATCAAGATTGTGTCCCCGTGCTCTTAATTTTCCAGAAGAAAGCATTTCTTCACCCAACCCTTTTAACATTTTAGGTACCTTTATCTGAAAATCAATCTGTCTTTCACTCTGAAAGAAATACAAGTTTATGCAATGTATTATTCATAATTTAAACTTTTAAACCAAGCTGCAATTCTGGTGAATCTGCATGGCATACACTGGATACCCAAAACTGAATATGGTGGCCTGTGCATTCAGCAAATTATGTCTACCGCACCTTGTAATCAGCATTTTCTCTCATTTCATAGAATTAAAAGGAACTGTTTAATGACAATTTATTTCTTTACAAAAAGGATGGCTTACAGTTTTGGCCAGTGTTAGTTTGGGTCTTGAGAACAAAGCCAAGCTAAAAACACATCCCAGCACACCATTTTGAAAACATTGAAATGGTGCAACATGAACACTTAAAAGTCAAAGTCAAATTGCGCAAAACTTTGTTTAAAATAAGAGATAACAAGGCGTAGAGCTGGACGAACACTGCAGGCCAAGCAGCATCAGAGAAACAGGAAAGCTGACGTTTCGGGTCTGGACCCTTCTTCAGAAATCTCTTTGTTTAAAATAAGTCCCACTTTGTACTTCAAGTACTTAAACAATTACTATTGTCTAAAGTTTGAGTTTAACCCTTTTGTTCTAGAAATACGGATAACTGAGAACCAAAATTTCAATGTTAGTTTTTATAAATTCCACACAGATTATTCAAACAAAGCAGATCTTTCAGGCTTTTCTATATCCCCATCTCTCTTTACTGTCTTTAAAATGAGACTTGTTTTTGATGGAATGATATCTTCAGTTTTGAATAGATGGAGGAATTGTAAAGACTGCTTTCTTCTTGTGTTGACTAAAAACAGGAGAAAGATACTGCTTTAAACCAAAAACAAAGATGTTTGCCATTTTAAAAATAAAGTTACTGATACGCAGGGTATCTGCAATGTTGGCTTATTCAAGCAGCGAGGGAGTATTCTAGACAGAACAACACTGCTTGTACGCACTCGGTGATTTTTGGTTTTTCATCCTGATCAGTTGTGGGTTCAGCACAGGTGGCTACAAGCTTTAGCTGTGGGCAGTATAGCAGAAACATCCAGCTTGTGAAGAGAAAGCATCCATATTTCCCTTCTGTGTGGAAGTAACAAGAGAAAATCCCAAGTAGCTGCTCTCCCTCACCTTTCTCTCTGTTAATCCCGTTGAAACAAAAAGGGGGTAAAACACCTTCAGAAGGACTGAAGGACAAATCATAAGCCAGTCAATGAGAACTGAGAATTGGTGTGTGTGTATGTATGTCTATATATGCACAGACACACATAACCTCACTAGCAAGGATTTGGAGCAAGTTGAAAAACACATGGATGTATCCATGATCTGGACTGGTGCCAAAACTGTGTGGAGATATTCCCCCCCTTCACCACCTATGTTGTGTGCCATGTCTTGTCTCTTCATTTATAAAAGAAAGGGTTTTAGCGACAGATGTATGGATTTGCAATTCAACTTGACAGTGGGGCAGGGGGAGGCGAACTAGGGATAGAATCAGAAATCTTTATTGTTCACCATGCAGAATGCTGATGAGCTCACACTGACTGAATAAACCAAGTTCACGGGATAATTGCCTCTAATCTGCATGACTGCTACTTGACTGGGAAAGGTAAAGTGGCAAAACTCCTAGTAGCAAAAGAATCACTTGGACTTGCATCGAGAGAATAAAGTGGCCATTTAAATGACAGTGAAGTATAACCAAAGAGTGGGAGTTCAGTTGTTTTTAAAAGTTAACGGGCATTTTGTCTGTAACTTGGAGCACTTTTAGAACATACAATGTGGTCAGTTCCATTTTTATTGTCCTCATTTTTGCAGAAGGATAAGTTAAAAGGTTTTTGGATCAATGATTAATTTACTTTTCTACTGTACTGTTAAAGTAAAATATCCCAAAGCAAAGAGACAATCCCAACATTGAGGAAGGAAAGGAAAAAAAATGACTAAAGATATGGCTGGAATAAGCAGATTTTTAAAGGGAGGCTCTGAAGATGGATCAAGTGAATGGGTCCAGGGAGACAGCATGCACATGAAAGGAAGAGGAGTAGCAGGGTCTGGTGACTAAATCTCATGGCGCCAATGGTGAGAGGAGTTTGAGACAAAACTGTATCTCAGCCTTAAACATATTGAATGACAGCACATCTACAACCCTCTATAGTAGAAAATTCCAAAGACTCACACCTTTTAAGCAAAAGGATGCTTCCTCATTTCAGTCTGGAAGAGTCAACTCCATAGCCTGAGGCTAGCTAGGAGAAACAACATTTTTGTGTTCAGCCTGACAAGCCCTTCATAATTCTTCTAACTCCAGTGAATATATATTCAACATTATGAGCTTCCGATGCGAGCATATTCTCTCATAAATTGGATGCAAATAATGCACTTAGCATTCCAATTCTCTCTCTCTCTCTCTCGAGGAAGGTGTTTATCTGGGTTACATTTGAAGAATTAGGAGAGTATAAAACAAAGGAAAAACAGTGTTGGGGTTGGGCAAGTTGCTATATGTTTTTAAAAATTTTAAACTCAAGTCTGACCTGGTTCCAGTCTTGACAGAAATGGCGCAAGGGGCAGGCAGTCAACCACTTCAGGGAGCCAGGTAAGCAATTTAAATATTAAATGAGGCTGGCAACCACTGAGTAAACCTCTGCAGATTTAACAGTGGCCAAGTGGCAGCTAACCGAAGTTAGGACAGGTTTGGATAGAATGCATATTTCTTTAGTATAAATGGGACCGGAGGAGTAGAAGAGTTCTCTCCTTGTCCCCACTGTCAGAGATCAGAATGCTCTCAGGATTGAGGGTTGGAACATAACTATCAACTGACCACCAACATCCACAACCACCCGCAGACCCTAGTGAATAGTGGACCTACCAGTGATTTGTTCCCATCTCCTTCCACTTGGTGTACTCCTGTACACCTCCAAACCAAGGATTTTGAGATCCATGCATTTTGAGATAGGGAGGTGGTGGAAGTAGAGACTAAGGGAGTAAAATGAGTACAACCCCATAAAACATCAGCTACAGGAAAAATCTGAACACAACTAATGGCAGTTTTGGGAAAACAGCAAATAAGAACTCACACCGTGAACACAAGTGTAATAACTTTTATAAACAAAGAGCTTACATATTTACACTTTTTACAGTATAAAAATGGTCAACTAACTCACAGTAAATCATTGCATATCAACATTACATTTGGTCTGCCCATATGGCAAGAAAAATCCCTGAAATGCTGACTTTTTAAAATATATTTATATGGGTACATATATAAATAGAGACTGACACCAAAATTAACAATTTGGTGAAATCATGTCCCCTGAAAGTCAATTTATTGTTGCAATCTGGTCCATTTAAAAATCACCTACCTGGAGATTTTGGCTCAAATTGGCAGCAAGGACTGAAAGAATTTAATACAATGCTTGTTCACAGATTAGAAAAAATGTGCTGCATGATCTTATGGAGAGGAAAGATTAGATGCACGTACACGCGTATATACACACACACACACACACACACACACACTCACACACTCACGCAGAGTACCTTCCTACCATCAAATCTTTGGAGAATAATTAGTAAGGCATTTCACTAGAGTTGCAATTCAATACTTGCTGTGAGCAATATACGTTTTAAAAATGTATTTCTTAAGACTGAACCTTTGATTGTGCAGACATAATTAGGACATTTTACCAAAAAACAAATTGATTTATAAAGATTTGTGTAATTTATACAAAATAATGAAGCCATGTGCACAATGCACACATTCTGTAGAAAAATAAACAGGACTACAGATTTGTCCTGTACAACTTTAATTGCATATGTTATTGTTCCTCAAGCAACTTTAGTGAAACGCTTTGCGTGAAAAAAATCATTTAAACAATTTTACAGCACCTCTGTCATGCTAATGTCATATGCAAACTGCAGGGAAAAAGCAATTCGTAGAATTTGTTAAGGTGTATTCACATACACTGATAACATTATGATTTTCTCAGAAAACCTTGCAATTATTTTCTTCCCCCTACAGAACACTAACATAATATAGCTGGTTCTATCTATACAAACAACAGGTGTTTCATGTATCAACCTCAGTACTCAAATACATACAAACAGAAAATGATGAGTCAAATGTGGACAGAAACCAGCCATAAAATAAATAAATATGATAATGCTCTAAAGTGTACTTAGTCCATAAAAATAATTTTTAAAGCGTAGATTTAAATTACAAATGAAGAAAATACTTTATTTGGGGAGAATAAGACTTCAGATTCAAGACCCCCAAGCATTTCTTTACTGTCGAAAGGCATTAGTCCAATTTCCAATCCAATTCCAACAGTTTGAACTCATATTCTGAATTTACTAACCTGGGTCAATTTGAGAGTGGAGAAGAACAAAAAAAAGGAAAGAAAGGGAACTAAATAGAGTGGGAGAGACAGACAGGCAGAGAAACTAGAATTGCCATGTAGGCAAAGCATACAGTGACTTAGGAATCTTTTTTGATGGAAAAGCAGTTTGAAGTCATATCCAAGTTCTTAGAAAAACCATATTGGTTGCCTATAAAGATTTTCTTGCTGGTTCATCTTCTAGACGCAGACATTCACTATTACAAGGTTTGCCTCCTGATAAGTGACATTAAATCAGATATGTCATATTACAAAGATAAGCAAAGAATAGCATTGTCAGCAATGAAACAATTCTTGTTGCATTTTTCTTTGCTGAAGAAGGACGGCATAGAAAATACAGGCGTGAAAGCTGATAAAATAGCAAGTTCATAAAAGCTAAAACACACAACACAGACATTTTTAAATGTTGCAATGTTGAAGGGTGTAAACATTTGAAAAGCATTTCAGAATGCTTCAAAATTCATATTCCTCAACTTGTACAGAGTTAAAGCAAAACATTATCAAATATCACTCAAGTACTTATATTCAGCACATTACAAAGGCACCAATCATTATTTGCTCATTATTTCCATCACTGGAAGACAAAATCTACCAGTGAAGTAAAATTCAACTTCAAATAAAAACAAGTTAACACATGTAACATATATTACAATTCAATCCTGATTTTGAAAAAAAGCCAGTGCAGATCAAATAAGTCAAAAACATAATTAGTGTAAATAATATACATACTGTAAACCTTTAATAGCTGCCACTGAGAATGGAAGAACTGTGCAAAAAACTTGGATAGGCTTATTACTGTATGGTAAGAGGTTATGGCTAGAATTTCAACAAATTCTGCTGTGTGTTCGACATACAAAAAAGCGCAAGATCAGGAACACTGCCCAGGTATGTTCAAGGTGTCGTGGCAAATAGATGGGTATTTCCTATTACATAACTGTTAGTGACTTTGTGCATCAGTGGCTTCAGAGATATCTTTTAATATGTTAAGGCTACACTGCCTTTGAGGTTGGATTCTGCAGATGGTAAGCAAGTTTGGAAGACCGAAGTGCAGTTTGACAACCAGATCAGCACCACTACAAAAAAAAAGGCTCTCTTGACACCACATCGCGCCCCCCAACCCCATCTCATAAATTAATAAAAATTGTGCATATCATATCCCTGCAGTACAAATGTAATAAGTTCAGTTTGAAAAGTTCTCTGCTTTTATGATCAGTGACTCCATCCCATTAAATGACTTGCCTTAGCCTTTTCTGTCATTCGTCGCATTCTTCCCGATCTTGACGTACCAAGGTTTAGACGTTCACCAGCTGGGACAAAGCCATCGTCATCAGAGTCATCATTATACAAAACCGTCCTTCTACCTTGATTTCTAGTTCTAATTGTGGAGCATTTATTCAATCGATCGACACACAATTCATCGTCATCAAACCAATCATCTAATAGTTTTGCCCGTTTATATTTGTTCGCTGGTATTGAAAATCTGAAGCGTTTCCTCCTCCGCCGTCTCCTTCTTACAACCTTGCTTTTTATATTTCCTTTTCCTGTTGCCTTTCTTCTCACAGCCTTGCTGTAATCGTGATCTCCTTCAATGTGGTCTTTATCCGATCCAGGAACTGATTCTGATCCACTTTCAGATCCATGGCCAGATTTAGCTGACGCGTTGCTACCTAATTGTGCAATGTCTTCCATCTCCCCTGTGTTTGGGTTCTCTAAACTACTTTCCTCTGAATCACTCATTGCCTTCCTCTTTGCAGAAGTACGCATTCCATGACCATTAACTAAAGGACCATTCGAAAATTGATCTGAAAGAAAAGACATGTTTGCAGCTGTAACATACATAAGATAACTACTTAGCTTTTACACTTTCCACACCTTTAACTTTAGCTAATAATAATAATCTTCCAGTCTGAATCTTCTAGAGATTTTTCCTTGCATTTGGTGCAGCCAGACCAGACGCCACTGTTAAGTCTGTGAGTATCTCTTTGCAAGTAATAAATCCTTGAAAATCACTTTGAGTAGTATGAATGGACTCATTTGCTTTGGACTGGGCATTAACCCTTGAACAGACCGTACATCCAAGATAAGCTGGGAAACAACTTAAATCAAAACAGAAGAACAATCTGCAAGGTATCTGATTTTCTACCAGCCATTTACTTTTTTAGAAAACAAATGATTATTGTTGTAACATACAAGACAAATCTTGCACGTGAACAGAGATATTCAAAAGAATTCTAATTAGTTCTAACTGATTATTTCTGTTTTGTCAATAGTTAAATCAGGTACAATTTACAGAGGTTTAAATGTTCAAAAGAGCAACAGAGGTGGGATGTAGCAAAGAACACTGAACCAAAGGAGTGATTAGAAAGGGTGATGAGAAATTTAGTCAAAGATTTGGGTTTTGACAGCAGGACAGCAAGATGGAGAAGCTGAAAAATTGAGAGAATTCCAAAGCATAAAAAAAACAAAAGAACTATGGATGCTGGAAATCAGAAACAAAAACAGGACTTGCTTGAAAATCTCAGCAGGTCTCTTGAAGGTGTTCTGAAAGGCCACTGGACCCGAAACGTTAATTCTGATTTTTCCCCACAGATGCTGCCAAACCTGCTGAAAATTCTAAAGCATAGTATTTTAGACAGCTGAAGGAAAAATAGTCCAATGATAGGGTGAACAGAGAACAAAGCCGGAAAAAAAAAGTAAGTTGGATGAAGTTACAAAGATAGACAAGGGTAAGCCTATGAAAGGATTTAAATAGAAGCATACCCATTTTAATTTTGAGGCAGTGGCGACCAGGACCATATGTAGGTCAACATAATCAAGTAGGAGAGTTTGGTTGTGCTAAATTTAAAAGGTTGGAGGGATTGGAGTCTGTCTAGCACATGTACAGAAAGTATGTTCACTTGTGGCAGAGTCTAAATCTGGGAATAAATCCAAGATGGAGAGTGTGGCTAGATTTTACAACTAGCTAATTCATGGGTAGCTGAAGCAAATACCTCAACTGCTTTTAAAGGGAAGTTGGATAAGTGCACGAGGAAGAAAGGAACAGAATAATATGCTAATAGTTGAGACAAAGTAAGTGGGAGGAACTGCATGCCAAATATGAATGCAGACATAGACAATTCAACTAAATGGCCAGTTTCTAAGCTGTACATTCTACGTAGGAGAAAAGAATAGTAATGGTGGATAAAATGCAAGCACCTGGAGGATTAGTACTGCTCTAGAACTTACAGGGCCTGCTTATAAAAGGAAAATCTGTGAATGCAGAGGATCATCCACAAGAGTCACTACCTATGTTTCACACTCACTAGTTACTCTTACAGATAATGCTTCATGAACAAGGATCCAATGACAAACATCCATTAGCTAACTGTGCATTCAGTGACGAATAGTGGACTTCGCTCCAGTATATTGTAGCACATATCACATCTTCAGTTCTATGCGTCATGAATCCAAATAATAATGGAAATATTTCTTTCGAATGCGCAGGCTGTTGCTTCCTAAAACTTTTGAAGCAATCTACAAAATGCTTTCTGGTTTGCCTTAAGATGCTGGGTGAAATTATTGACAGAACCATGAGGCAGGGATTCACAGATCTCAATGTTGACCTGAAGTCTGCTGTTACCCAGATCAACAAACATGTTGAGGGAGGGCATCGTGGAATTGGTAATGTTTAGGGTTCTTAACAATATCACGTTCCACTTTCGCCTCCAGCATCTAGGTACAAACAGCAGTTGTTATGCCAAAAATCGCAGGAGTAATCAGTCCCAGCACCAAATACAGGAAAATAAAATGTCAAAATCATTTCATGGGCCAACATAAGGGTCAGTAAAAAGTCCCAGAAAAAAGCACATGCATTTATAACACCCAAATTAAATATTATAAAAGTGAAGTAACACTGAGCTGAAAAATCTAAGGGTGGTTCTATGCTGCTAGAGTTGTGTCTATTGTCTCCTGCAAATTCTTATGATGTGTTTAACTCTTGGAGCAGCAATACATTAATCAAAGTCTCAGTTGGGATGCCTGCATTAAATGACTTGATATAAATGGCAACATTAATTACAAGTGTTAATCAGTTAATAAAAATGTAGAGGAATAAGCAGATCACAAACAAACATTCTCATTTTCAACCATCACAATTAAGCACCTACATACTTGGCAACAAGCTGAACTACAAATCACATTTATTTGTCATTACCTTGTCCTGTAGGGATAGAGGCATTTCCAGTTACTCTGGTAGATCCAGGCACTGAAGCAATTCCAATCCTATTCTGTACTTCACATTCAGGGAATGGTGATAGCTGCAGATTCTCAACTTCATCATTCAACGGTACTGGAAGAGCTTCTGTTTCCAAAACTAGAAAATTAAATTTGATCAGTATAAAAACATAAATCAATAAACCTAGCTTCAGTGAGGAAGAGAAAGGAAAGCATTTTTAAAAATCTAAATTTGTCTTGCAATTCCTGCTAGAGATGCACATAGCTCAGTTCAGAAGTCTCATGCACAGAAAATATTGGCTGCACACAATGATGAGACATATGAAGAGAATAATGTCCAACTTCACTACTGTGCTTACCAGAAAGAATAAACATCTTCAGGAAAGAACAAAAACATGCAAGAGGTTTTTTTTTAAAAAACAAAAAAGCAGCTAATGTACTTTCAGTTGGTTGGTAAAATGCAATTGCCTCTGGACGAATTTTCACTGTCTCTGAAGACTGACCTGTTCTCTAGTTCCCTGTCATAATAACACTACTCGTGCAGAGCACACTAGGTTAAAACAAGAGTTGATGCCTCACTCTAGCATGCAATCAAACCTCTAATTCATTCACACAGTACTAGTATTACTGGCAGGGTCAGCATTTTTTGCTCATCCCTAGTTGTCATGAGAATCAGGTGGACAAGTTGCCTTTTTCACTTAATGAAATGAGTGCTGTGAAGACACTCCCTCAGCTCTGTCAAATAGAGATTTAGGATTTGGATTCAGAGAAAAAGCAAAAGAAGAAAAAATAGCAATAAATTTTCAAGTCTTAAAAAAGCACAACACTGCAGATGCTGAAAATCTGAAAAATATTACAATGGTTGTATGCTATTTCTGAAGGCAGTCAAGTGTAGAGAATATTACTCTAACTTCACAATCAAATATAGTCAGTCAATCAAAACGACAGCTGGCAGGTTTCCTTCCCCACAAGACATGAGTAAATCAATTGAGTTCCTATAATATTCCAACAGGATTGTGCAATAAATGATACTACTTTGCAACTGAGAAATGTTTCACATTAAAGTATTGGCAAAGATCTGTAGCTCGGGTTTTGGATGAGGTTGTTGGCTTGCTCGCCGAGCTGGCTTGTTTTTGTTCAGGCGTTTTCTCACCACGCTTTGTGACATCAGTGGAGCGTCTGATGAAGTGACGTGATTCTACTTCACTTGGAATTTATACTGTCCGGTCTGTTATAGTGAGTACTGTCATTTCCGGATTTGATCTGTATGGGTTTATATATGGAGTCCAATTCTATATGTTTGTTGATTGAAGTACGGGTGGAGAACCTTGCCTGTAGGAATTCCCGTGCGTGTCTATGTTTGGCTTGGGCTACGATGGTTACTTTGTCCCAGTTAAATTGATGGGCCTTCGTTGTCTGAATGTACAGATGTTAAGGAGAGTTCATCGCACCGTTTTGCTGCTAGCTGATGTTCGTGCATTCTGATGGGCAGTTTCCTTCCTGTCTGTCTGATGTAATGTTTGTGGCAGTCGTTGTGTGGTATTTTGTAAACCACGTTCATTCTGCATGTTGTGGGAATGGGGTCTTTAATCCTTGTAAGTGTTTGTCGTAGAGTGGCCATGGGCTTGTGGGCCATCATGATTCCCAGTGGTCTTAGGAGTCTTGTTGTCAGTTCTGATATGTTTACCACACTTCCCTACATCAGGAACATATTGGAACTAACAACAAGATTCCTAAGATCACTAGGAATCATGATGGCACACAAGCCCATGGTCACTCTACGACAAACACTTACAAGGATTAAAGACCCCATTCTCACAACATGCAGAATGAACGTGGTTTACAAAATATCATGCAACGACTGCCACAAACATTACATCGAACAGACAGGAAGGAAACTAGCCACCAGAATACATGAACATCAGCTAGCAGCAAAATGGCACGATGAACTCTCCTTAACATCTGTATAATCAGACAATGAAGGCCATCAGTTTAACTGGGACAAAGTAACCACGGTAGCCCAAGCCAACCATAGACACGCACGGGAATTCCTACAGGAAAGGTTCTCCACCCATAATTCAATCAACAAACATATAGAATTGGACCCCATATATAAACCCATACAGATGAAATCCTGAAATGACAGTACTCACTAAAACAGACCGGACAGTATAAATTCCAAGCGGAGTAGAATAACATTGTTTCATCAGAGGTTCCACTGATGATGTCACCTAGCATGGTGACGAAACATCTGAACAAAAACAAGCCAGCTCAGCGAGCAAGTCAACAACCTCATGTTTCACATTAGTCGTTATTGAAGACAAATTTATCCTTTAATCAAAGTTAAACAAAAGAAAAGAGGCCTCAATGACAACTAAATGCAGGTCTTTCAGATGATATAGTAAAACAACAGTGAAAGCTACTTATATTTCAGTTTTCTGCTGAAAACGAGACTGCATACTGCTTTAAAAGGGCAAAAGTATAACTCTTGTTTCAATGCGTAATTGAAAACTTGCAAAGGGTTATAAAACTTAGTGCAACTGAAATTCATTGGGAAATAATGGCACTTTCATAATTCTTTTCCCCCATGAATCTACCTCTCACCTCTAAAAGCACCAGCTTCACTTTTGAACTACGCAGTTTAATTTCCCTGTATGACTTATCTGCAAACACTTACTGAATTTCTTTAACCAAATTTAATTGATCTATATTCTTCCTCGTTCTGCCCATCTTCTACTTCACTTTAATTAACATTCAGTTACAGGGTGTTTAGTCCCTTCGGATTTTTAAAGCTTACGCTCCAGTTTTGAGATCCCACTTCTTAGCCCTGCATATCAGTGCAGTATTTAAAAGTTGGAAGAACAACAAAGTCACCACAAACTTTAAAACTCCCATTCATTGGAGCTGCTACTATTGCACAATGTTCATGGTTGGGCTTGCCCAAAAACAAATTTTCTCTTATAAAAGTATACATATTAAAAAGGTAGAGGTAAAGTCGCCATAAATCCATAGGCTGCTCTCTCAATAGACAGAAATGATTGGTAATGGTTTAACCTGAGGGTCACCACATTTCACATGAGGTGAGAGGCTGAAAAGGCAGGATGACCTTCAAGGTCAGCTGGTGTGGGAATAGAAGCCATGCTGTTGGTATTGCTCTCCATCACAAACCAGCTTTCTAGCCAACTTAGCTAACTAAACCCATGTACAAATCAATCACATGGTGATTGTAAATTAAATTGCAACTCTGAGCAAATTCAAA